TGTGTGAACGAATAATAACAAAAGACAACTGCATGACTGAGTACTTTCATGCCGTATAAAGCCAGCTGTTCGTAAAGTATAAGTTGTATTATGTGGTTTGATTTTCTAAAATGTTCTTCGCCCGTTTCTTCTGTCATAGAGAAAACAAAGAGCTTGATGGTCATGAACTATACTGATACTTATAATCAATCACACTAGTCTTACAGCTGTACGTATTTTTCAAAGCATTTTTTGAAGCAGTAGCTTCATACATGTTGTTTTTAATAAAAGTGTTGAAATATATATCACATCTTATGATCATTGTCACTGATCTTAATATTTAAGGATACGGTAACCTTTCGCGGGTGTCCTTCCCGAAAAAAAAACTGTTTAAGACTATTTAAAGCGTAACCACCACAAACTGTAAATGAATAGCGAAGTTATGAGATGCACTATCTGGTAAAAAATTTCCCCTTAAGCGTGATCTAATCGTAAACCGAGTGAGGTGCAAAAATTATAATCAGACGGTGTTCCTTTGAGAAAATCGGTTATCAACACCGACCGCATAAGTAAATTTCTGCACAATTTCAATCCTGAGGGGTTGGTCTTCAAAATAGTGCGGGGATTTTTCGATATTTCTATTTGCTGCTTTGCAATTTTCCTTTCTAGTTTGCTTATCAAATTTTTACCGATTTCGAAAAACGGAACTCCCTCACACAGTTTTATATCTTAGGAGTCTTCTGACCAAGGCAATTCGTAGAGTTTTCATAACTTATTAATTTATTCAAAGTAGGCACCTTTGCGGAAAAAAGAGGCAGGCTTTCTTGCATCAAAGTTTTGGATAGGTAACCACAAGTGGATAAATGTTAGTATCTGAGCAAATGCACACCTGCCTCTCCACTAACCGAACGTTGACCATAACTTGGCATCAGTACACTGTTGTCGGGTCGTTGGAAGGGATAGGTGCGCAGTTGTTCAAATAGTTTCCTGGTTATGCCCAAGCAATCATAAGGTAAGAAGCAGAAATGGAACAAGTGCTTGCCAAACCCGAGTGTGAAATAAATAGGAATATCCAAATCACAAGAGATACATAAGAAATTCTTCCAGTGTGGCGACATTGTTATTGGAATCCATTTGGACAATGTTTTTAGTAACTCACATTTTCTCGTCATCATCAACACTTTAATTAGTTTTTGAATACAGTTGTACATTACAGCCACAGAAACCGCATTAAAGAGATTATTTCTTGTCTACTATACGCATTCGATTTGCAAGAATACCTAAACCCTTAGTGATATGGTGTTTACTTGGTTGAGATTCCCAGTACAAAAGTCCTTGCAAATTGCAAATAACAATATCGTTCAAGACATCTCAGCGACGGTGTATCTTAATTTTGTTCACGAGCGAAGCAACTGAGCTAATTCCTGTGATTGATCGTCATTCCTGACTGATGTTATTCCACATAGATCAGCAATTTACATTTCCTTTCGCTCGCACGGCCTCTACAATGCCCTCTTTTCTGCTTTTTACTCCAAACAAGTTAGCATAATGATTTATTTCTACTTGAACTTCTTTGGAAGCATGGAGAGAAATCTATCGTTTCATGAAAAACAGATTCCCATCATTGCAGCATGCAGCGGCTTTGGTTGGATGTTTTTCATGCATCGACGCGCAGTTTACGAGTGAAAACTTTTAAGTGAAAAAGAAAAAATCAATAGTAAATAATTTAAATTTATCTTTGTAAGAGCTTTATTTCCAGCCCGATTGATTCCTTCTACATTTCCCGTGTGGAGTTTACTTTTTTCCTCTCAGCTAATCAGAAAAATTGAATTAATCCATTCTGCCAGAGGTCATTATTTGGCGACCATACCGCTAACAAGGAGCCAAAATGACCCCAGACTCGAGATTGGGCTAACTTCGGAAATTGTATCTGGTATTAATGATTTACCAGAAGT